AGTGCTCTGGTGAAAGAGTCATCAACGCACACCGCTTACAATCACCAGCAGCAATATTGTACATGTGTTTAAAGCACTTACACCCAGGGAATTGAAGATAATAGAAAAGGGAAAACAAAGAAATACATAAGGAGAGTGGAGAGGACCCCCCCCCCCCCCCAACTCAGTGTTATTTAGGGTACGCATATGCGTGTTCCCTCCTTTTGAAAACACCCCCTAAGTCCGGTGTGTAAAGTCAATTTTGTGTATGTACGAGCCGGACTTTGGTGCGTGAAAAGTACCCCTTTACCGGACATTTTGGTAACACGCATGCGGTCATTCCGACCCGGAGTGGGGAGGGGGGGGGGGGGGGGCGGGGGAGAGGATATGAAGCAGGAAAAACAGGGAAATCCATAAAGAAAGAGAAGAGGATAGATCAAAGGTAAAACAAAGAAATACACGACGACAGAAAAGAGGGTATATTTAAGCTAGCTTGCTGGCTCTCCAATCAATTAGGGCTTCTACAATCGTAATCAGGGGCGGCGATTTCTTTTCATGACCAGGGGGGGGGGGCGGACGAAATGCGAGGGACGAGGGAACATAGTGAGCAAGAGGGGCCAGTGGCATAATGAGCAGAAACGTTTGGGTGTGTGTGTGTTTGTGTGTGTGTGTGTGTGGGGGGGGGGGGCTCAAGTATTTACGATCAGGTAGAGCAAAGCGAGCGAAGCAAAAAGCTTAAATTGGCGTGGGGTCCAGGGGCAAAGCCCAGGCGGGAGTCATGGGCGGAGCCCCATGAAGCTCAGGAGTTCTTTAGGCATTTAATTACGGTCAGATGAGCATTTTGATAAGGTTTATTTGTGATACTGGCAGGTCACTAATTTGGAGTGAGGCCTAGGGGGTGGCGCCCCCAGAATCTCAGGGTTTTACGCAGCGCTCAAAATACACGGGGGCGGTGGGCGATTCGCCCCGTGAGCTACAAAATCGCCCCCGTCAGGTTGCTCACGGGGGTGATTGCAAAATTAAAAATCGCCCCGGTGGAATTATAAAATAAAGATAATCTTTTCTGTTATAACTTTAACACAATATTGAGTTTCAATTTTCAAACCTTAAACCAATGAAATGGAACTAAGATTAGCGTGCAAGATTTCTCGTTTTATGGGTAGGCCTATTATTACCGATTCAGCTCGCAGTGCAGTGCCGCCGTCAGCAGTGGTTATAGGCCTACTGCGCCGTTAGTAGCGGTGCGTGTGCACGCTCCCGCGCCATGGTCATGGCCTGGAGAAGTTTTTCGATGTCAGCATATAAATGAACCTCGACCAGTAAATCAATATTAGGGACTTTTAGATTTGTACGATGAGAACGTGGACTGCAACGTGTGACCTCCTTTTAAGGCACTGCCAGTGCCTTAAAAGGACGTAACACGTCCACGTCCACGCAAATCTAAAAGTCCCTTTTGAGGAGAAGAGGAAGACCAAAATGTCGTGGATCAGGGGCGGCGATTTCTGTTAATGACCGGGGGGACGAAATGCGAATTTGTTTTACGAGGATGTTATGCGAGGGAGCGTAGCGACCTAAAAAGATTGAGGGGGGACGTGTCCCCCGTCCCCCCCCCCCCCGGGATCGTCGCCCCTGCGTGGAATGATATGATAACATGGGCAGATCTACGGCGGGGGGGGGGGGGTAGGGGGTTTAACCTCCTCCCACCCCCCCCCCGGCCCCCTTGGGCTGCCAAGTGAAAGTGTAATATTAAAGCGGGGGGAGGGGGGAGGGGGATTCTGGAGAGGAGGACTACTAATCTATTTTATTTTTTTCAGGGGGCGGGGGGAAGTGAAGCGCCGTTTTAACATGACTTTCTTTTTAACTCCTACTTTCACCTATCTCAGATAACCCTAAGTTTTTGGTTGCTGCTTTATATGTAGTTGATAATGCATGATTAAAATAAAGAGAGAGAGAGAGAGAGAGAACCACCATCATTTTGCAATGTAATGTACATTTGAAAACATTTCTTAGCGTCTCAACCCTAAAAAAAAAGGCAAAACTATTTTTGGGGAAAAGCATCATACTGAATTAAATAAAGAATAATAGCTTTATATTGGATCATACTAATACTGATACGGGCTAAAGACAATGTGGTATTTGTATAGAGGTATTCCAAAATGACATTCTGATAATCAACATTTGTTCTGGTATCATATGTATATACGCAAAATACAACTGATCTTTATGATTTCTTAACGTGACATAGCTTCTTCTCCCTCTGCAAACAAAACAGAAAACAAGGTTATTTAATAAAAGGACCATGCGACAAATAATCATTGTGATTCAAATTGATGCAAGGATTTTTTTGAATATGCAATGCTTTTCACCAGAATCTTCTTTGTAAAAACGACTTTTACAAATCTCAGCCATGCAATTCTGCCACTGTGCTGTAAGATCACTTTGAGATTAAGGGAAGTGTATTATGTAATGGGTATTTCAAATTGAATGGAACGTCTCAACTCAGTAAGCATGGCTGAGATTTGTAAAAGTTGTTTTTACAAAAATGATTCGGGTGAATAATAGTGCTTATTCAAACAAATATTCGCATCAATTTGAATCACAATCATTATTTGTCGCTTAATCCCTTTTAATGACCATGTTTTCTTTTTCGTTTGCAAGGGGAGAAGAAGATATGTCACGTTAAAGACATCATAAAGATCAGTGTTGTATGCGTATATATTATATACACAGGCCAGTAACAGCTATGTAGCTTGTAAATTTGTAAGAGGGAAAATGCTGATTGAAATGATAATGATGAAATAGCAAATAATTGAGGAGTATCATAGGTACCAATTCAATGGATATTTGTATTTAGAGCCCCCGTCAGTAATAAAAGAGCCCCGTGAGAAGGCTCACGGGGGCTCTTTTTTCGGGGGAAGAGCCCCCGTGGACAAAAAATTAATTTGAGCCCTGCCCCCCACCCCACCCACTCAGTGTTATCTAAGGTACGCACATGTATGTTCCCTCTCTTTGAAAGCACCCCTCTATCTCCGGTGTGTAAAGTCAGTACGGGCCGGATTTTTGTGTATTACGGGCCGGACTTTGTTGCGTGAAAAGTACCTCTTTATCTGAAATTTTGGAAACACAAATTCGGTCCCTCCGGGAGGGAGGGGGGGGGGGGCTTTGTTCTTTATCTTTTCTCTTCTCTTTTCCTTTCTCTTCTTTTTTCCTTTCTCTTCTCCTTTCTTTTCTCTTCTCCTTTCTTTTCCTCCTTTCTTTTCCTCCTCTTCTCCTTTCTCTTTTTCTCTTTTTTTCTTCCTCTTTTTTTTCTTCCGTTTGCGCCGCCAATAGGGGGGGGGGGCGCGGCCGTTTCGGCCCCCCCCCCCTGGATCCGCCACTGCCTAACGTTAATAGCATCATCCCATTGAATGTTGTGTTCAGTATTTAGGGCGTTCTATTACTGAATGAGATGGAATGCCTAATCTGAGGGCTTTGTTGTGCTCTTTAAAAAGAGCACACAATAGGGGCAGTGCCATTTAAACTTAAAGGGAAGGATAAGAGTTTTTATTGCTCACGACGGCTATGTAGAATGTTCTGAATTGCTTAAACTGTATAGCTTCCGAGGGCTTCGACTCCTGGATCACTGGCTGGGGCACTGCAACCTTGCGACCCACCAGGGGCACTAATAGTGATCCCATTAGTAAAGACAGAAGTGGTTCCAAAGACAACCCGCTGTTGTATAAAATTGGCCTTAGGAAAGAGTGTGAGTTTCCATAGCTCAAGACGGTCATCTTAAAGGTTCTGAATTGCTAAAACTTGAGAGCGTCATGGGGCTCCGTCCCGTAATTCCCAGCAGGCCCCCAATTTCTGCCATGTTGTACGGATCCATTGGAAAGCAAAATAAGCCCCAATAAATAATTGATATATAAATATATATATGTGTGCTCTGTATCTGTGCTCTGCCTCTTGACCCCATTCAGAAGGGCTAGCGTTTACGTGCGATTGCAATGTGCTTTGTGCCCTCGTTGCTTTCGCCCCCGCCCCGCCCCCTTAAAAACCCTGGAACCACCGCTGAGAAATGTATAGTTCTACCCCTTTCCTATTGGTGGAGTATAAATTGTTGTTTGCAAACTTTAAAGTTTAAAATTCATAATCTGGTACTGTGCGATAAGTCGTATGACTTTGGTCTCCCCATAGCAATTCATTCAAATAACAAATTCAGGCATTTTTTAAATTTAAGGAAAATTCCATTAAATTCCAGAAAATTGGGTGTTCTTTTTCAGGAAACTCTATGTAAACGATTAAATACTAATACATAAAAAATCTTCCTTTAGTCGATGAAATTTTTCGCTACCGTTTCTCCTTATAACTACAGCATTATATGCAATAACTAACTAAAATGATTGCTAACCCTATTATCTAGGAAATTACATATACTTACGTTACGTTGTATATTTTGATATCTGTCTAATATAATTGTTTGGTCAAGGCCTATGCGGCTGCTTATACATTTCTTGTTTTATTTTTATTTTATAATTGATTATACTACACTTCTCAATAACTTTTGGAGATCTACTTATCCATCGATGTATTTTTCCTCAAGATATATATATATATGTATATATATGCAAATTCCCCCCACCATCTTTCCGTTTTTCCCTAATGTGTTCTTTTCTATTTATGTTGTTTCTATTTTTACCATTTGTAAACAACCGTATTTTTCTGGTGAATACTCTTGTCAGTTCTTAAATTTGTATTTTCCTTCTTTATGCAGGACCATTATGTAAAGCAGCCTGCGAGCTGATCAATGTTATCCTGTTAAAAGTTGTTTGTTTTAATAAGTAATTGAATAAATGTAAGGTATAAGTTTCAGCGTTTTTCACCTGGTTATTCCCATCTAATCAACACATTTCATTCCAGATGAAGAGCTCGAGATTAATTGATTTAAATCTCATGATCAGGATTGATTTATTGATGAGTTTTTATAAATAAGAACAAACTGAATTCGCTTAATATTTCGTCTTTTTCTTTTTGTATTTTAGGTTGCCCATCTTCCTAAAGACGACATGTTCTCCTTCAGTGCCCAGGTAATAAAGGACAAGATTAGTTGTAATACTAATAATGATAGTGAAAATAATAATAATAATAATAATAATACTGATGATGATGATAATAATAATAATGATACATAATAATAATGATAATAATAATGATAATAATAACGATGATGATAATAAATTTAATAAATCATAAATAATGATAATGATAACGATGGAAAGTGCTCAGCATTATATAGAATATATGTATGCACTTTACATTTTTTTCTTCAAAAGAATAATACATTAACATATATTGTTTCAGAACATAAAATACATAGATATCTCAGGGCAACCAAAAATAAGAACGTAATGAAATCAATATTTATGTACGTGTGGAATTAGGCATGCATGCGTGTCTTTAATAGTAGTATGTCTCATTTGCACGGCAAAAAAGTGAAAAGGATGAATTTCAACGGCATTTGAAAGATAAAACTAATTGAGAACTTCCCTCAAAACGAAAAGGTTTGAAAATGTCTTTAAATGGGAAAATAATGACCATTAGTTTTTGTTTTGTTTTGTAGCATTCTTTATTGTATTCCTTCAGTACAAAATACAAAATCCATACATCTTAATTGATTAATACATAACATATCAAAATGTAAAGGAAATTGTACATCCCTCAGAAATACATAATATAGTTTAATACACAGTACATAATGTCTTCAAATTAATTATACTGAATGAATATTATAGATCAAAGTCTTACGAAAAGACAGACATACATACCAGACACGCTCACATGGTCAGACATACATACAATCTTACATATCCCCTCCCCCTCCATTCCCAAACTCTACAAATCCCCCTACCTTCCCGAGCACAGTCACATATACACAGTTATTATATAAAAATTATATACAAATGTTTGAGTCGACTTTAGTGATTGCAATTCATTTAGTAACCCTTGTACCGCATGGTCGTACATTTCGTGCTGCACAATGATTCAATCAGTTTAATTTTGGCCATTACAAGAATTGGGTTATCGATGTAGACAAATGCTCATGTACCTTTTACAGCTCATTTTATGTATGTTATTACCAAAGAAAAAAAAAGGTCAGTCACTCACTCACTCAATAGAGCCTGACAGTAAGTCTATAAAGTAAACGGGTTTTCTTGCATAATTTAAATATTACGACACTGTTCACGAATAGGACATACGTGACATATTCATAATTCCTGCGAAGTTCTACATAATGCTGCAAATGGGACATGGTATACCTTTAACGCTATCTTTTTCTTTCGTTCCTTTTCACTTTCTTTTTGACGCTCCGCATAATTTTCTCACCGCAATCGCAGTGGGATCTCAAGTCATTGGAGTTGAAACTGAAGCTTGAGCACAGACTGACTGTATACAAAACCGAGAGATGGACGTCGTTAGAAGATCTGAAGAACATTTACAAACCCCCGCACTTCCCGATCCCAAGTGTATGTGTTATAAATATTGAGGATTTGCTTGTTGGAGGTGTGCTAATAGTGTATTTAAAAAAAACATAGCCAGCATACTTCATAGCCATTTTACATTTCAGTGTGCGTTCTCGACCTTTTTCAGGGGTACCTTGGGCAACAGCACCCCTTCCGAAACGAAATTATGGGGCACGGGCCCTTAGCCTGTAGGCTACGCCCTGAAGATTGGTCAGGTTAAAATGGTCTGCAACTGGACTTTTGGCTGATTTTAGTTACTGTCATTGGCAGTTTGGGGAGATTGTACATGTGTAAACAATTAATGTGGGTGGGCGTGGATGTGGTATGGGTTTGTGGATGTGTGTGAGCCACTGTGAGGGTTTATCTATCACTTATTCGGTTTTTGATCCTGGAAAGCTCCGTGGGTGGATGAAATTGAGAGTGGGGGTAACCATGAAAACCATAGACATGAAGTGAATAGACGACTAAGCCATTACATCTGACAACATGGGCCACTATATTGCACGTACTGGTAGAATACCCCCTCTCAATCATGATCATAATGGTATATATTTCAGCTCTAGTGCAGTGTAATGGTACTTTCTTTATCAGAAACCAGTTCTGTTTATACGTCTTCAGAATTAGCTCACGTTGTGAGTACGTTCCCCCTCCAGAATTAGAAATATGCCTACGCTAGAGAAACCCTGGACCTAGTGTTAGTGGCTTCACTTCGTACATCAATCAAATTGACAATGTCCCCTTATTTGCCTTCTCACGCTTTTGTTGACAGAATTGCATGATAAAAACACTTTTGAATCTAATTTATTGTTTTTTTCTTCAAAAGGTGATGGCCAACTGGAGGTCAGATAAAGAGTTTGGTACTCAGAGACTTTCAGGATGCAACCCAGCTATGATCCGACTTTGCACCAAGATACCGCCCAAGTAAGACTGCATTTATTCTTCAAAAATCAATGTATTTTACATTATTTACCTTATGACACCTTGTTGATAGATATGCATGATTACATCCTTCATATTCGTTCGTGTCTCCTGAGATCAAGATTAATGTATCTTTCCCGGGGTGCGAGATAGGACTATAATTGTAGCGTGCCCTCAATTAACACAATTATACAATAACAATTAACATTACATTTAATTAAAAGAATGAAGCAATTAATATTACTCTCATTTTATATTATATATATTATGAATCAATTAATTTGGTCGATCCAGGTTGATGGCACAAACACGACACTACTGGACAGAAATCCTAATAATTACAGAGCCTGGTCTTGTTGCTCTGTTCGGCAGCAGTTTAAGGATATGGAATCTTGCGGCACATTACTCACGAGAGTTCTAACAAGCCAAGCTTATACAGAGCCTAGTCTTTGAATTAGGCTGACCCACACACAATGCTGGGCTGGGATTCGAACCCTCCACCCTTGAATTGAGAGTCAAGTGAATGAACAACTTTGCCATGACACCTACTTATGGACTTCAAAAGAGATGTAGAATTTATCATCTTGGATTTAACTCTGGCTACCTATATCAGTAAAAATTGAATTTCAAGAATACATCTGATAGGTATCCATTTCATTCCTTGGGAGACTGTAAATACATCTGGGAATGCAGTATATAGGGACAAACACATTAGGCAGAAATTTGAACGCTCAATCTATCAAATGAGAATCAACCGAAGGTACCACTTATAATACAGAGATCCAGCAAGAGATCCAGCAAGAGATCCAGCAAATCTGTCTCTGTCCCTTCTATGTCTTTCGCTTTCTCTTTCCTCATCAATATCTCTGCTGTCTCGTTGCCTTTCACATTCTCTATCTCTCTTATTTCTTTCCTTTTCTCTATCTCTATTCCTCCTATATTTTCCCCCATCCCTATCTCTGCTGTCTCGTTGCCTTTCACATTCTCTATCTCTCTTATCTCTTTCCTTCTCTCCATCTCTTTTGTCTTCTCTCTCTCCACTTCTATCATTCCTCCGCTCCTCTCTATCTCCCTTTCTGTCACTTTCCCTCTCTCCATCCAAATCCCTCCTTCCTCTTTTATCCATCCTTGGTTTGTCTTCTCGTTCCCTATCCCAACGATTATTCCGATCCATCTGTTCATCTTCTCTTCTCTTAACTTTGGTTTCGTCATAATCGTATTTGATAGAATGGTATAAACTCCAAGCTTCGTCATCGTCGTATCTCCTCCTGCTCCTCCTATCATATTCCTGCTTTGTCTGTTCTTTCTATCTGCTATAGTCCTCATCTGATTTCTTTTTTAATTTTCACAACGGGAGTCGACTCGCTGTCGTCGCTATCATGTGCCCTCTTCTTTTTTTTTCTCTGATTGCTTCTTATTTTTGCTGGAATTTTATTTCCTTTTATTGGTGGAACTAATTCCTCTTCATCTTCCTTGTTTGATGTTGGAGGTGTCTTGAGGGCGCATAATTTGACTCGTGATGTACTCTTCAGCTGTAAGGTTGACGCCTTTGCATTTAGTGTAGAATAGAATATTTCTCTCCCTTTAGTGTAGAATAGAACTCCTCCTTGAAATCATTCCACTTCGTGTCAGTTCAGTCAGGTTTGGCATGGAACACAAAGCTTCTACTAGGTGATGTGAAGTGGTTGATTTTGGGCACTCGATATCTTCAAGCTTGACAGTTTAGATCTGTATTAGGTTGACGCCTTTGCATACAGTGTAGAATAGAACTCCTCCTTGAAATCATTTCCACTTAGTATCAGTTCAGTCAGGTTTGGCATAGAACGCAAAGCTTCTACTAGGTGATGTGAAAAGGCTGATTTTGGACACCCAACATCTTCAAGCTTGACAGTTTGCTTGTAAGTTTGATGACTTTTAAGTCATTATATAATAGAACTCCTCCTGGAATTACTCTCTACTTAGTGTTAGGTCTGTCAGGTTTGGCATGGAACACAAAGCGTGAAAAAAAATCTCTTTTAACTGCTTTCTTCTCGTTTTCCTATTTTTAATGAAACCACACGAGAAAACACGTGTATGCGAGTGTCGGGGGGGGGGGGGGGGGGGTTGCGTACTTTTCCATTCAGTGACAAAATCACGGAAGTCTTTGAATAATATAAAGATGATGTTTTGTTTGTACTAAGCGAAAAGGAATGAACATATGCTTTCCGTTATCGTTTCATATAATTACCAAAAGAGAGTTTTACTCTGGAAATGCTCTCATATTTTGAATAATTATGACTAGACAAACATGTAGTCATGATTTGACAATATAGTTTCATATTCCGGAATCTGGGTCTCGTGCATTTCATATTTTGAAATGTTCAAAATTAGTTAGTTTAAATAGATAATCTGCGCATTTAAATTCGTAACGTCTTCATTCGAATTAATGATTTATCGGGATATTCGTCAATTGTTAATTCAATGAAGCATAACATGATCATGTGATAATGTATTCCTAACAAACTCTCTCTTTCTTAAGCTACAGTCCCATATACGTCCCGGACCGTCCCGGACCATCCCGGACCCCATCCGGGGTGATCCGGGATTCGGTCCGTGTTGACACCGTGTTGGCACCGGGGTGGTCCTGGATGGTCCTGGATGGTCCTGGATGGTCCTGGATGGTCCTGGGCGGTCCGGGAGTCGACCCCGGATGTTTTTGACGGTCAAAAACTGCCGGGGTGGTCCGGGACGGTCCGGGACAATAGTTTGATCCGGGGTGATCCGTGTAGCCACCGTGCTGGGTCCGGGGTCATCCGTAGTGGCGCCGGGGCGGTCCGTGTTGATCCGTGGCAGTCCGGGAGTGAGTTATTGACCGCCCAGGACCATCCAGGACCATCCAGGACCACCCCGGTGCCAACACGGTGTCAACACGGACCGAATCCCGGATCACCCCGGATGGAGTCCGGGATGGTCCGGGACGGTCCGGGACGTATATGGGACTGTAGCTTAAAAGCATCACACTTTTTTGAACAAAACATCCCGGACCATCCCGGATCACCCCAGACCATGGTCCGGGATGGTCCGGAGTGGTCCGTGCTCGTCCGTGCTGGTCCGGCTTTATATGGGACTGGGGCTTTAACGAATTTGAAGATTCCACCATATTACAGGTATCACACATCACGCGAGTATAACCTTTATGCCATAAGTGAGTTTTACATTTCTAGGAGAAAAACTTGTCTAGAAAGTGGAAGAAAACTTATGCGGGAGAGGCGTTACCGCGTCTTTAAAACACTGGAAACCCAGGAGCTTAGGGGGGGGGGGTTGCCCCTGGACCCCCACCATTAGCCACTGAGTTTAGCCCGATTGCTTATATTTACTTTGACCCAAAACACTATGTTTCACCCCCCCCCCCCCCCCCTCCCTCATCCCAAAATCCTGCACACGCCCATGTTAACAAGAAACCAAACCAACCATTCATGCGAAAGCTATTTTTGGTAAACACACACACACACACACACACAACAAAAACATGTTCAAAACCCTTCACAGTTGAACTCGATGGACTTCTACAGGATAATACCATACTGACCGTATGCCATTAAAATAGGAAAAGAGAACAAATTAGAGTTTATCAGTTTTTTTTCCCTCCTCTCAGTTTCGCCGTGGACGAGAAGGATGTTGAACCTCTTCTGGAAGGCCTAACTGTGTCGGAAGCCATCGAGAAGAAGCGTCTTTTCATCATCGACCACAAGGTTCTCAAAGACTTGCCTTGTACAGATGGGCGAAAGGTAATGAATAATCTCTTCTTGTCGTTACTAGACAGATCCTTTCAAAATTGTCGCCAATGTAATATTTGTTTATTTATTTATTTATCTATTATTTGTATACAGAAAATATCATTCATAGATAGAATTTGTTGACAAACAAATTTCTGCAATCAAATTAATAAAAAAATAAACATTAGCAGCAAATGACTAAATATGCGTATTTTTGAATTTACAAAACCCTTTGAGAATATATAAAATACATTCATTAAAATCTGCAATACAGTTTCGAATTCATTAAAAAATAAATCCAGGAAAAAACACGTCAAAAAAGCCTACGCCGTAGAATTGAAAGCAACTTAGGCGAGAAACACATATACTACCACGTATGGTACGAGTACTAAATGTTTTATAAATTTAATTCAACAATTCTTATCTCATATCAAATGGGATTTGGTTATTCGAAGCAATACTTATTTCTTGAGACTAAGAGGGAGAGAAATTAAGTCTTCTATGATGTTTCAAACCTTACTTGCTTCCCTCAGATCGTTGCACCGATTGCGCTTTTCTTCGTCAACAATGACAAATATTTGATGCCGGTCGCTATTCAGTTGAATCAAGACCCAGCTCCAAACAATCCGGTAAATATTGAAGATGATGATGATGATGACGATAGCAGTGGTGATGATGGTGAAGATAATAATGACGATGATGATGACAGTGATGATGTTGATGTGATGGAAGATAGTGAGGATGATGATGGTACTGAATGACGGAGGACTGTGTCATCGATTTATACTGTGGTCTCTGACGCACCTTGGTGAAAATGCACGAAAGAGGAAGTCCACCCTGATATTTGTTAAAGAAGGGAAAGGGGGCGCATTATAAGGGAGTCCACAATGATGGTTGTAATAAAAGCAGAAAATGAGAGAAACAGTTCATTGAATGTTTGCGTAAAACCGGTCAAAATAAGAAAATTATGAATTTTTGAATATGCGATCAATCAAACAGGAACTCGGTGACGTATGTTGCGAGCTCCCAATCCAATTTGCCTTGAACTAATTACATTTTTTTCCCTTAAGACAATTTTCAGTCATATATTCATCCTGAATATGATTATTGCACATGTTTTTTTTTATAACCCCTGTATGACACAAGTCTATTCCGTCATCAACAAAGAAAATGAAAGTTCATGAAACTTTCTGTACAGAGCACATTGGAGAGGGGCTCACAAGATACGTCAAATCGTTGTCAATTTTTCTTCCACTGATGACAACTTCATAAATTCAGAACTCTCCTATTTTTCAAAATCGGATATTACTCGAACAGTCTAATTTGATTATCTCATTTTCCCGCTCTTATTAAAATCAAGAAACATCATTGTGGATTTCTCTTTAATGCGTCCCCCACCCCCCTTATTTAGAAAGTGAGGACAGATCGAGGCCTTTGTACATTCATTGAATTCTGCTTTATTGCAGGTGTTCTACCCGACTGATCCCGAGTACACGTGGCTCTTGGTCAAGTGTTACTTCAACTTGGCCGATGCTGCCGTCCATGAGTCGGCTTCCCATCTTGGATTCACGCATCTCATTGGTGAAATCATCGTCATAGCAGCGAATCGTTCCCTGTCTCCATCTCATCCCATCTTCCGTCTTCTTGCTCCTCACTTCTTGTACCTCATCGCCATCAACAAGTAAGGTTCTCTTATATGTTGAACATTGCAGTGTATTGTAAAGGATGTTAATGATGATGATAATAATAACACCGATATTAACCACAATATAAGCATGCTACTATTAATGATCATGATGATATTACTACTACTAATAATAATAATAATGATTAAAGCGATTCGTATGTATATGTGTATTTCAAAAGACTACGCATACTTTCAGGAAATCAACTTCTTGAGTTCAGTTCCAATACCCTATCATCTGTAAAAATCATGAAGTCTTTGCGATCGTCAGTAAAGCGCATAATATCATAATGGTATAACGCCCCTTTGCGCTTCCTACGGACTTTGGATATAATTACCCTCGGTAACTGTATATATTACAGCGCATTGTGCAGGCCATGAATAAATCTTACCACATTGGGATCGTAAGCAGGGAATCCAATCCCGTTCCTTGGGACGTATCCACTAGACCGCTACATCTTCACATTTGGCAATTCAGGCTCTTGACTCTCATACGAGAGGAACCGGATTAGATCCTTGCTTGGTGCTTAAATCCTTTGACAATGTGTTTTACTTGTCCAGCTCGACATAGGTGCAAGAAAAGGGCAACTGCCAATGTTCGGGTTATCATGATTATAAGTAAAATGATTCTTAGTTTGATCTATATCACTTGTAAATGATTTGCAAATTTATTGCTGAATCGGCTCCTGATTTATAAAGCATAGTTTGGTCGATAATTTTTTTCTCGATTTCTTGTTATTCGATTTATCTTATTGATGAGGTATGAATTAGGACCGTTCTATTTAATATATTTATTTTTTTTAAAGTTTACATTATGAATTCCCCAAGGCATGCTTTTACCATATACCATATTCAAAAACATTCATTTTATAGCAAAGGTATGACTCCTTTGCTTTCACCGGGCGAATTTACCGACATAAATATGACCATTGGCTCCGTCGGTATGGCATATATCATCAAACGCTCCTTCTCCACATGGCGATTGGACATAGAGGGCTCCCTTCCGACTGACCTTCTTGTAAGGGGCGTCTCTGACCCTGAGGTGCTACCGAACTACCCTTACCGTGATGACGCCTTGATCCTGCGAGAAGCAATATACGACTACGTCAAGGAAGTTGTGGACCTTCATTACGGTACAGTAACCACAATCGCAAAGACTTCTGAGAAATCAAGTCAATGGCGATTTCAATCTTCTACGTCCAATAGAAATCGGGAACGGATTATGCCATTGTAATGTTCACAGATTTTTTAAAAAAAAGTCATTGAAATAAATTGCCTTTGGTTGATTTTTTCAAAAGAAATTGCGATCGTACTCTCTTAATTCAGATAAGAGGAACTTCACTTGCCACCAGGAACGATCTAACGCACCCTTTGAATGACTGTTTCACTTTCTACAGATCTTGGCCCCATCTTATAAAGAGTCGATATCAATCGCAAATTTGCAGCTTGGTCAGGCCTCATTGATAACAATCACTCCAACTCTGACGTTAAATCGTTCCCTAATGCATATTCCATCTCTTTTATAAATAAAAGGCATTGGAAATCGTTATTCTCAGTCAGACTTCAATAATTTATAATAAATCAGCGGCCAGTGAGCCTCCCTCAACGGTTTCATCGGCTCGTTTGAATCGTTCAGCCACCCTTTCCCTTATAGGACAGTCCTCAAAGATCAAAAGATTTCAACCTCAACTATAACAGTAATTTATCTGAAAGTCGATGATTTCACTCCTTCTCAAAAGGACATTTATGGCAAAAACAGTCAAATTGGCTTACGACAATCACCACAGATACCCGGGGCTGGGTGGGGAGAGACAATGTAATATATTGCCAAAAAAGCGTTAGTGCCGCGGTTGAGATCCGAACCGTTTATCATGTGATTCACAGTCCAGTGACATATCTACTAGACAACGAAACCTCTGAAATATTTAGTCGCCTCAGGATAGTAAACTCGCTCCATCCCACGAATTCTCTTGAGTGTTGAACTTTATTTAGCACTCATTCGAAAGGTCCTTCATTTGATCTCTGTTTTGTGCTTTCTTTACAGACATTAGTACCTATCGACAAAGTTTTTGTTATAAATCTGACATTACTTGAGAAATAATATAATAATTGATTATAATAAATACTTATAAAGCGCACTTTTCAAATAACTTACTCAAGGCGCTATACAAAACAAAATACACAAATCTTTCTCCAGAATTTAACAACATAATATAGCATTAGTAAGTCTAACTCTGAAACAAGCTTTTTATCATGTTCCTGAAAGATTTCTAGGCATTTGAATGTTTCGAATAACAAGAGAAGGGCGCCCAGGAAGACGTATATTGATACCGATTCAACCATGGTGTATTTATTAATCAACCAAAGATAGTGTATACACATCATTTTGTTATGAATCGCAGCAGGAGATAAAATGTTCAAGTACCATATACAATTTTACATCGGCATAATAATGAAAAATAATGTATGTATTATTAAGATTATGTGTACTAACAATAAATATATAGCAGATAAAATAAGACCGTAATGCTGCATCATTAATTTCTCATGCGTGTTATTTTACTTCCAGATCACCCCAGAAAGATAGCTGCCGACCATGAATTGCAGGAATGGATCCGGTTCATGGGCACCAAGCCCAAATTTGAGGGAGAGGTCATAGGTCGCATGAAGGTACTCCATACTCCTTAAGTGGCAGGGTTGAAAAGCCACTCTTTTGAGGATAAATATTGCCGCGTGGTATTTCTCTGTGTAGCCGCCCCGCTTGGAGCAGCGGCTCATACAATAAAGATGGGGAAAGAAAATTGGCTTTCACTTTATAAGCAGCCAAAACGAAGGAGACAAATTAAGGTTCGGTGTAATACTGAGACCTTGGAATCATTGATTTTTAAAGCGGAAGTCGGTAGCAACGTTAACATTTCCATAGTCATTTCGATAGGTGACATACAATATAAGGCTATTGAAATTGACTTGGGTAGATTTTCCGAAAGTAGGCTAGTTGCTATCGTGTTGATACAATATGTTAGGGTCTAGTACTGCTAGTCATGCAGCTTTGAAACATGCGAATGCCGTTTGGAGTTTCTTCAAAATATTTTTTAGACCTGTATTTGACAGATACAAAGACAAAAACAAAAAATAGTCACATGAATTATGCCTAGTGTTTTATGTACCAGTACAAACGTTTATATTTATCTTAATTGTCCATTGATTGATCAATAAATTCGCTGATACCCACTTCTCTCTCTCTCTCTCTCTCCTAGGGACTTCCTAATGATGGCCATTTTAAAACCGCTGAAGAGATCACCACCGTTGTTACGGATTTCATCTTTATCTGCAGCGCTGGGCATGCTGCATCGAACTTCGGCCAGTATAATAGCTATGGTTTTCCCCCAGCCTACCCCATCTGGATGAATGGAGCACCACCGCAAGATAAGGTAAGAGATGGGAGACGATCGAGTGCGCAGATCAAGTCCATTGGGAAATTTATCTCCCAAGATAGAAATGTTTTTCAAGATTTCACCTACGGAAACACATTTCATTAAAATAATAAATGCAGCTAATTTATGGCTATTAAACGCGACTTTATTTTGTTATTATAGAACAAAAGCCCTGATTGACAGATGAAAATCTCTTCAAATTTATACCACATCAATTCGCAACTCTAAAACTTAATTATGTAAATCGGAGTGAAAGTTAATGCAAGAAGACAAAGATGGGAGGATATGGAGAAAGGGGGAGTTGAGGCACTGGCGTACTGGTGAGGGGGGGGGGGGAGGCGCCAGCCCCCCCCCCCAAATAAAATTGAACCATGACTTATTTTTAATTCCATATACAAGTGATGTATAAATGTTCGTGATATCACATAATTTTCAACAAAATGCGTGTTTCTCCATTTCTGTTGCAAACTGACACATTCCCAAATGGCCAGGAAGAGCATATGTATTTTATAGTCACTAAGGGGCCGTGGCCACTAACAGTAACACTAGTAAAAAAAATCCCATCTAGAAGCAACTGTGACAAGCACTGCCGGGCGTTCCATACTAACATCATGTAACACTGCACATGCACCGTTAAGGGGCCCAGGGGGGAAAATGAATTCAGACAAGATTAAGATTAGTGAACGGTACAACGAATCGTATTCTTTCTCTAATAATTTAACAAAACGGCAAAGCTTCCGCGCTTCGGGGGGGGGGGGGGACTGAATTCAGACTAGAATTAAGAGTCGAGAACGGTACAACGAATCGTCTTCTTTCTTTAATAATTTAATGAATTGTCAGACTTCCGCGCTTCGCGCGGGATGGGCGAATATGAATTCAGACAAGGATTAAGAGTAATAGTTTAATGAAACGTCAGAGTTTCCGCGCTTTGCGCAAGATGGACGAAAATGAATCCAGCAAGGATTAAGAGTCGGAACCGGTACAATGAATCGTCTTCTTTCTTTAATAATCTAATGAAGTGTCAAAGCTTCCGCGCTTTGTGCGGGAGAGCGGAAGCTGAATTCAGACAAGAACACGATACAACGAATCGTCTTCTTTCTCTAATAATTTAATAAAACGTGAAAGCTTCGCGCGGGAGGGGGAAACTGAATTCAGTCATGAACACGATACAACGAATCGTCTTCTTTCTCTAATAATTTAATGAAACGTGAAAGCTTCCGCGCTTCGCGCGGGATGCCAATTCAGACAAGGATTAAGAGTAATAATTTATTGAAACGTCAAAGCTTCCGTGGTTGAAAATGAATTCAGATAAGGATTAAGAGTAATAGTTTAATGAAACGTGAAAGCTTCCGCGCTTTGCGCGGGATGCCAATTCAGACAAGGATTAAGAGTAATAATTTATTGTAACATCAAAGCTGCCGCGCTTCGCGCGGGAGGGGGAAGACTGAAAAATAACTTAGTTCCTGGCCTCGGGTTTATAGGGTTAAATTTGTAGACATTTGAGCATTGGCATTAATATATTTGTCGGTAATTGGTTGCTCGTTTTGTCGGTAATCGGTGGCCTCTATACCTTCCCCACTCCCCCACTGACAAAGATCTAGCGACGCCCCTGATAACGACACAGTTTATACACTCGAGAATTTTTTTGCAAGTACTACTGATGAAGTACCGGACCACCGTCTTTGTGCATTGTGCGGCATCAAAGCATATACAACGTCTCAAGCCGTGACAGATCACTTTTCTCTAACTTCTAACCAATCAGAAGGCCTCCTTTTTTTCCAGGAAGTGCCGGTGGACATTGATGCGCCAAATGTGGTTCTCAAATTGCAAAAGATCCCTACTCTTGGAAGGGGTAGGAGAAAGCAATTGTACGTCATATTACTCCAGGAAGTGCCTGAACATGCGTCTAATTTGGTTCTAAAATTGCAAATGCTTTTTACCTTGGGAGGGGGCCAGAACCCCCTCCCAGACCCACCCCCTCGTTATGTCGCTTCATCGTTTTACATATTTAACCCCATGCCATTTTGTGCCCCATCCAGGTAAGAAATTCCTGGATCCGCCATTGATGCCTATTGATGTTAGAGTGGGGTGCTGCGGATTTTTCTTTTTGTCAGCCCCCCCCCCCCCAAACGTTTTTGCTCATTACGCCACTGAGTTGAGGGTCTGCAGTATGTCCTCTAAGAATTTCCCCATTTATTTGGGCACTCGCGGCCGTCACCTAGCTCATAATTATCCAAACAGCAAGCTGGTCTAGTTGCAATTTTTGGATTTCATCCTTGGATTCTATCCTTGGATTTCTCCATTGTATTTCATTTATTATATGAATTGATCAGGAAATTACCTTTTTACTGTTACGTAGAGGTCCCCCCCCCCCTTTTTTTTCTTCTTCTTCTTCTTCTTTTTGCTCGCATGAAAATACAACAGGGAAGTTTTAAAAATATAATTCGGGCAAGAAACAACGGCTCTCTCTGCAAATGCTGAGCGCCGGTACATGAAAGAGGCTCCCTGCATGTGGGGTCAAATTCACTGGTACCAGCGGATTTCTCCATTGTATTTCATTTATTATATGAATTGATCAGGAAATTACCTTTTTACTTTTACGTAGTGGTCCTCCCCCTCCCCTTTTTTTTCTTCTTCTTCTTCTTTTTGCTCGCTTGAAAATACAACGGAAAAGTTTTTAAAATATAATTCGGGCAAGAAACAACGGCTCTCTCTGCAAATGCTGAGCGCCGGTACATGAAAGAGGCTCCCTGCATGCATGTGGGGTCAAATTCACTGGTACCAGCGGATGGACAATCATGCCTATCAAATCAGAATGATACCATGCAGCATTGACCACTTCGGTCTCCATTATCATTAATTTTATTATGATTATTATTATTATTATTATTCTTACTGTTATTCTTATTCTTCTTATCAATAATACTTTCATAATTTATATTTGTTTTAGTTTTATTAATTATTATTATCATTATTATTTTAATAATTATTGTTATTTTATTATTATCATTATCAAACAATATCAAATTATGATTGTAATTGTTTCTACTGTTATCATCAATACTATTATCATTGTTATAGTAGCTGTTGTAATTGCTCTTATTGTTACACCACCACTTTTAAACACTGATATTCTTTATTTCTCAAGACTCCTCTCACGGAAGCAGACATCGTCAAGAAGCTACCCAACAAGGATCAGACCTTAGGCATCATGGTATTCACGAAGATCCTCAGCACCCGAGGCAGCAAGCCTCTGGGAGACTTTGAGGTGCAGTACATGCATGGTTCTGCCTATCATAGGGCCTTGAAGAAGTAAGTTTCAGTTTTCTGTATTAATGACAATGATCGTGATCATGAGGATGATGGTGATGATACCAACGATGATGATGATAATAATGATCATTGATGATAATGATGATTATGATGGTGATGATAATAATAATAATAATAATGATAATGAATGATGATAATCATAATAATCATAATTTTAATAATAACGATTATAATAGTAATACAGATAGATAAGGTGCAGTAAATCGATGGTCCTGCCTTTCAAAAGGCCTTAAAGAAATGTTTCGGAGCTTTCTGCGATTTAGTTACTGCCTTTTCGTCTACTGTAAGATGTAGTGCTTTGCATTTGTTAAACAGTTTATAGAGACCAATGTACAGAACCTGTTGCTACAAGCTTAGGCCTACTGCTCTAATGCTACCTCGATTTATACTTGAACATAGAAATGTTATACTTTCCAAACTCCACACAAAATAAAACTTTTGGTTGATATCATACTTAAAGAAAACGTTGAATTCTGGGAAGAGGTGAAAAGTAATTTTTGAGCGTTATCATATTGTATTATGCAAGTGTGGAAAAACATTAGAAAAAAAAGCATGGCTCTTCAAATGCCTTAATATTTTAAATACGGCATGAAACATCATAACAATCGGGACAGATTTTTATGCCACGTCATGTTCGTGTAGTCCCATATAATCTATCTGTGTACAGTGCTTGACATTCTCCACCCAGGTGAAGTAAAAGGGTACACTGAAGGAAGGAATTCCTAATATAATTTAGCACCTTAATTATGACTGCTCATCGAAAGCCGGCATAGCGGTATTATCAAGGGGAATTAAGTCCACCATGATAGTACTTTGGTTATGATAAATAATTAAGAAAGAAGGAATCATTTCATCAATTTTCAGTACAGAGCAGAGTTGCCAATTTGTGTGTCATTGATTACAACTTTCATTTTTCTGCTCTTAAATATCATCGGGGTGGACTTCCCCAATAAAATCAGTAGAGTAAAACTATATATCCTTTTATCATTATATTCTTATCCACCCCTCTCTCTCTCTCTCTCTCTCTGTCTTCCCCTAGATTCCGAGCTGAACTCAAACGCGTTGGAGACATAATCGACAAACGGAATGAGACAAGAGAAGAGAAGTATCTTTGGCTACATCCACGCGAAGTGCCTAACTCTATCACAATCTAACTCCTAAACGTCAAGAGAGAAAATGCATTAAATGGCAATTGACTTTGACTAATATAGGATAAAGTTCATTATGACCATGGTAGTCATTCGACGAGAGGATTGTAGCTCCTGACACTCTTGTAAACAGTAAAGTCACCCACCTCCAACATCGTGACCTATCACTTCTCCTATCTCTTATGTACAAAGGTGCGATTGATCACTCACAAATAGTTGCAATTAATCGCAACCGTTGATGATACAGGGCCCAGATTGCCCCTACAGACTTGAGCAAAGCTAGGACCCCCTCCTGGGCGCATCCTCCTCCAGACACTGACAAAATATCACACGACTCCTTTCTTCACCTGTGACCTTGACCGCAGCACGTCCCTTGACCCTGTTTGACCGAATGAGCATGGGGATATGTATCGAGAACACCATTTCTTCTGGCCATCTTGTTCTAGTAGCTCTTGAACTCTCTGGGTTAATCGTAACGAGTACGTTGTTTATAGTGCTCTTACTCTCATCTTTTTCACTCCTTTCTCTCGCCTAATGACTATGTATTTCTTCGCCCTTCTCCTCAATTTGTGTTCGTTTTTTTTCTTTTGGTCAAATGAATTTATTGATAAATAAATGCGTTTGAACAAATCAAACAATTATATATGTTTACAATCAATTTAAATAACATTGTAGCATCCATACATAATTCAAGTACAACATGTTTCATTTTCTTGGGTGTTTTAAAAAATGACTAACTTTTTTGTTTTACAATACTTTTCAAAGTTTAAACGGTAATGGATTAATCTTTTGAAGATACAAAGAAAAGAGACTTTGTGAAACCTAAGTTTGCAATTTTCTGCTTGCATAATTGTTAGATAAACTGCGAATTTTGCATATATGATAAGAAAATTTGAACTTTTGAACAGTTTGTTTTTCAAGTCAAAACTTTGAATTAAAGGTACTATGTCCCTTTTGCAGCCAACCTCAAATTCTGTAGAACTTTGCAGGAATTATGAATATGTCATGTATATCTGTGAAATTTAAACTTTAGCAGTGTCCTAATATTCAAATTATGCAAGGAACCCTGTTTACTTGCTAGACTTCACTGTTAGACACTATTGAGTGACTGACTGGCTTTTTTTCCCTCCTTTGGTAATAACATACATAAAATGAGCTGTAAAGGATACATGAGCATTTGTCTACATCAATAAACCAACTTCTTGTGATGGCCAAAATCAAACTGATTGAATCTTGGCACAGCATAAAACGTATGATCATTCGGTACTGGTCTTAAAATCAGGACTATTACTTATTGGCTCTATAGCTTCTAAGTCGAATTGATAACTAATAGTCGTTATTTTCCCACTTGAAGACATTTCCAAGCCCCACCTTTTCTTGGGAAGTTCTAAATTAGTATTATCTTTCAAATGCCGTTGGAATTTAACCTTTTCATTTTTGGGGCCTGCAAATGGGACATAGTCATTTAACAAACTTTGTGATCCTTGATTCTACATGTACTTGCATGTGGGTACTCGTTCTATATTCTGTGTCATGGTCAAGTTTTTATACCTAGTATGCTAAGAATTTTTGTTTCCACAGGGAATTTATGTTAATCATGTAATACTTATTGTATCTGGAATGGTTTTGTATGCATATTATATCCTTCTTGTTGAGTTTGGATCATTTCAGATATTTTCTCCCTCCGATTCGACATGTAAAATGTTCATTGTATGTTTTAACTTTCTGTTAGGGATGTGCAGGATTGATAGTAACAGTAGTCTAGGATTCTTAGTATTATATTTTAGATGGGTGTCTGTCTGATCTCATTGGATTATTTGAATACAGGTTATAGCTCAGTTTAGTATCCTTTTGCTACAAATTAATATAGCTGTACAATGTATACCGGTATGGTTTTTAATTTGTGTACTTTCATTCACAAAACTGGTGTAATATGTTGATCATGCATAGTATTATTTTATGCACTTCTCATGCACATAGTTCCATATCATGCATATTATGCATACATGTTTATATTGTTGTTGTATAAAATGTCCCAATAATTGGTCAAGAAAACAAATAACAAAAGTTATTTGTTTCAGTGACTTCTTTAATGATGCTGAATTTAAATGTGAACCGATTGTTAGTTTCTTTTACTGTTTTGAATATGGAGGATTTGCAGTTCACAGCCCCATCTAGCGACACAAGTATTTAATTGATTTCAAATAATGCATAATGGGACAAATTGAAAAGTTTTGCGCTGTTTTAAAAAAAATATAGTTGACCCTTTTCACAATGTTTTGGTAATTTTGACCACTTTTTGGCCCAAGTTGACTAGCATAGTCACTTTTGGCTAGGGGAAACTTTTCCAACCATATTATCAGCAAAGGAGATTTGACTGGCCTATTGAATGTTAAATAAGCTGTGATTCTAAAAAAAAATGGTCCAATTTACCCCCATCAACAACAAATCACTTTTTCGCCAAAACTTGATCATTATTATTGATTTTTGTCTAAAATCAAATTGTAGGGTGCCAGGAGTGTCAAGTCTGACAGACATTAGCGCTATACGAGAACCCACTACATTGTAATATTATTGCTATTAGGCGTAAAAAAAAAAAGATTTTGTATTGCCCTTTGCGACCGACCCAAAAATCTTGAAATCTACGGTCGGCTTTTTTTCTTCTTTTTTTTTCTTAACATTTAAAAAAAAAAAATGTTTAATGATTAAAAAAATATGTACCAAAGCATTCAAAACTGAGAAATATCAGCCCAAATAGGGAGAAAAAAATATAAAATTCAGACCGACCAACCCATGTTTTGGCACCTAAAAGGCAATACAACATCATTTTTTTGTTAGGCCTTATTGCTGTATAAACCCTTTAACCTACCAGAACTGGAGCACATATTGAGATGTTCTAAGATAACTGTCTTTTACTTTATATAGAAGCATGATTTTTTTATTGGTTACAAAAGTATTCCTTTATAATACATGTACAAATTTTTATAATCACATGTATATATTGATATAGTCATAATAAAGGAGCACATGGGTGCAACATACAATTGGAAAAACTTGATTAATGCTGCTGGATTTGAGTCGCCCTGCTGAGAGCAATATTTGGCTTCCGCCATTTAAAAAGACTATATATCCTTACTGCAAAATGTCACTTCACAATAAAAATATATTTCTTCACATGGAATACAGTACCATTCAATGGAAAATCTCTAAAATATACGCAACCATAAAAATCTTCCAGTGGGCAACACATATTTCAATTTACTTTTGAAGTACAGAGTAACAATCTAAATTACAAAAAGTAATGATTTAAATCTGTCCTGTTTTTTGAGATATTATTTATACTTTTTCTCTGAAAGCAGATAACAAGCCTACAATAACAACTACTTATGTAAAAGCATCGTTTAACGATGTTAAATTCGAGATGCATGGCCCTTCATGTTATCAGTGGGTGTAATAATGAAGCCCTAAACAAATTGCGCTTCAAAATGATCAAGAAGTGCCTCAAAAACTTAAAAATCTTTGAGTGACTGGTTTTACCCTACTCATTTTCCCTAATAGACTGTAGTGTTATAAAAAACATTGCTGAATGTGCTGATGCTTTACCATCCGTTACCATATATTTGTACCAGTCAAATACTATTAAAGTTATTATTATTTGTCATTATGACATATGACCTCAAATTATCTTTGACCTGATATGTGACCCTCAACACATAACGTGTAGGTCCCCCAAGTGCATCTCTCACCAACATTTGGTCAGACTAAGATTAATGGTTGACACATTATAAACTTTAACATTTTTAACAGACAGACATATGCCATTTGGATCCCTTCGTCTCACCTCCATCTCCGGTGGGCAAGCCAAAAGAACGACACAAAAACAAACAACGTTAGGGAGGTATTTTGTTCTTAAACCTAGAATTAGACAACAGTGATATTTCAAATGCATATAAAGCCCATCTCTATTTTTCTTTGGTGACTTTAGACGATATTACCTAACACATTATGGCAAACAAATAGGAGGACACAATGCAAGCGCTTTTCCTGAAAGTTCAAGCAATATTATATAAATGATGTACACTGTATATAGTTCACTTTATTAAAAAATTGATATAATTATTAGAAAGCAAGCTGCCTAATGTTTTCAAATTTTATCACATAGTGCGCCATGAATACAGATATTTATTTTGTCAGTTCTAATGAGAATGCGTCCACAAGCTATTTTTGCATACATAATGAGCCCCATGACCTAAGACCTCATGACCTTGAAATCTACTCAGTTCATTGGCTCTGCAAGATATATACATAACTGAAGTTTGGCAAGATCCATCGATCAGTTCCTGAGATAACGCGAACACAAGAACGGGACGTACGGACGTACAGACATAAAACCCAAAAACATAATGCCTCAGGCTACTTCGTAAAGGAGGCATCAAAATACAAGGTGAGTCAGTAGAAGCTTTTTTTCTCTAACAAAAAATAAAAATGGGACTTCAGAAGTTTCTTTATTTTTCTTGTGCTTTGGAGAGGGCAACTATTCCCCTAGGCTACAGGCCTGCTGTAGAAATGTGAAAGTAACAGTACCTTGAGTTCTTAAGATGTCAGCAGGTCATTCAGAACGCAGCCAGTATGGGATGCTCGTCATGTATGCCATCATACTGACTTTGCAATGTGTATAATAATCATATTTCAAAATGATATATGTTAGAAAAATAAACGATCAGAATTATTAGGGTTGGTATTTCATAGAAGTCTGGCAGATCCAACTATCACTTTGGATTTTCTTCTTTTTCTTTCCTGGAAAAATAAGGTGGAGGACAAGACAGAGTCCAGTATGAGAAGAAAATAAGTCTAGACCCCCCCCCCCTATTTGCTTGCCATTTTAGCTATGAGTCCTTTCACATCACTGGTCGCTACTCTGAACCCTGGTGTAGTTTACGGGTGCCTGGTAGGAATGTATTCCTTGATTTTTCTGAGCACCTCATCATGGTTACCTTGCTAAAGCCAGAGTAATGATACGATTACAGCCCTCGGGGAGAAAAGTATTAATTGCTGATGAGGCTACCCCTGTGTAAACAAGACATATCATCATTATTATTAAGGGAGTGTTTCACAAAGATCCTAAGTTGAACTTATCTCTAAGTTGGACTTAACAATTATGGAAAGCCGTTAGCACCTATGATTTTTTTTGTAAATGTTAAAAGGCATAAAATGTGTATTCAAATCATTCACATTTTCTAAAATTCTAAAATACTTGAAATTTTGCTTTTGAATATATTTTATTTAAGGCTACAAATGGCTCTCCATAATTTTTAAGTCCAACTTAGGATCTTTGTGAAACACCCTCCAGCTGTACTACTTTGGCCAGGAGGGATTAGACCAAACAGCGTGGTCAGTGGTCTCATCAACTCAGCTTTCGATTAACATAAGAAAAAGAGGATCATGGGGGACCAATGGTCACTGATTAGCTACAAGTAGTGCAGTGGGGCTTTAAATGGTCAGCAGGTAGTCTGGTATGAAGCCAGGATACGATTGGCGATGTCCTCCACCCCTACCATGTGTTTAGCCTGGGAGAAGATGGTCGGCCCTTTCTGCCTCATCAAGTCTGCATCTCTCCTCATCACCCCAAGATCTGCACCAACCGCTTCAGCCAGATCCGTCTTGTTGATGACGAGAAGGTCACTTTGGGTGATCCCAGGACCGCCCTTCCGCGGTACTTTATCTCCACCTGGTTGGCATGGAAACAAGCAAGTAAAAGTGATTAGTGAAGAGGGTTTTGGGGTGATGGGGAACTATTCTCACCAAAAAAAGATGTGTATCATGAATTTCTATTTTTCTCACAATTACCTATTCTTCGGGGACTTACTGTAGTCGAGGCTACTATGAAACCCATGTTCTCATAGTGTTATGAAAGGGCAATTTTGTTTTTGAATATTCATGTATTTCTTATTATAAATGTCTTTTATACCAGTTTACAATCAAGACTTTCAAAACAAGCCTGCAACATCAATCCCATACATGACGCAGGTAGCTCTTGACTGAATTTTTTTGTGTTGTTTCCCCCCCCCCCCCCCCCCCCCCCTTTTTTTCTCTCAACTTTTGGTTTTCCATTTAACACACACCTATGTATTTATTCACTTCCTTTACCATGTTTTTGTAACTTTTATATACCGGTCAATCTATATGATTTTAGACATTCTTGTAAGTGCGCTACTACATGCTCTCACATTCTGTTCTTTTCTCAGTTTTATACTTCATGGTTTCAGTTTACCTACTAGACATTTTATGAAATAGTTTTTAAGGCAAACTTAATTCCTCATGTTAATGTTCAGTATCGTGTCATGACCTTGTGTCATCATACATATTAATTTGATTTCCTCCTTGTGCTTTGTTTTTGTTAGCTGGTTTGTTTATGAAATGTTATACATTTTAAATACCTTCATGCTATATTTTGCAGGTCTTCTGGGTGCATCAGTTGGTCGGGAAGAGGGACCATTACGGTTACAGTGATTTAGTTTGCTTTCCTCTTCCCCGACAGCCAACTGATGCACTCAGAGGACCTGTAGGAAGATTGTGCATTTATAATTGACATTCTCTTAATGTTTGTTTACCTATATTTACATTGTTATATTTTTTTGTGAATTGCCGAATAAAAATAAATAAAAAAATAAAACACCTTCAAATGCCTACACACCCTCTCACATAAACATACCCACTCCACACAACTTATAATACAGCAATATACCTGCAACGTCAATCACATATATGATGTAATCGGCTAGCTCTCTGCTGAAGTTTGCAGCCAATTTGTCCCCTCCTGACTGTACATGTCTCTATTTAAGCCAGTTACATGCATACACACACAAACACCCACATACCCTTGCACGCCCACACAACTTATAATACAGCAATATACCTGCAACGTCAATCACGTATATGATGTAATCAGCTAGTTCTCTGCTAAAGTTTGCAGCCAAGTTGTCACCTCCCGACTCTACGATCACGATCTGGGGCTGAAACTTGACGGTTAACTCTTTGATGGTTTCCATATTGATGGAGTAGTCCTTTATAAAGTGAAGTAAAAGAACAGATCTATTATAACACAACAACAACAACAGATAATACAAAACAGCTTGTTAAACCTTAGGAGACATCAAACCACCCACCCCCCTGCAAAGTACTGGATAAAACATCAAAACAATTAAATGTTAAAGGGGGTAGCATGGCAAATACAGGTTAACGCCATCTACGACTTCTTTTGGACAATTGCACATTTACGAATGGACTTGAATTAACGGTCAACGTGAGCTAGCTTTCTCGAAACAGACCCAAGTTCTCCTCATGCGGTTTCGCGTTTGTTGCATGCACGTGAATACTGCGGTTGCGTCGTCCGTAGTCGTATTATACCCGACTGGCCCCGAGTCAGGCCACCGGAAAGACACGTAGTCTCGTCATGCTACATCCCCTTTAAAACACCCAGAAAAAAAAAAACAATTCATAGAGTAAGCCCCATCTCATGATGTTTGAGCAAAGAATAAGTTGTTATGATTCACTGGTTTAGGATTTCTTTCTTCTTTACACTAAAGCATTTTGCATTTGTATGGTTGTTCTAAAACTTTTGCAAATAACTGTATAGTGGACGTTTATTTATAAAATTGTGGACGTTTATTTATAAAATTGTGGGCATGAATTAACATAGAAATATCAATTTACTTGATAGTTTGTCTAATTCGAGCACTAGGAGGGCTTAAAGCTTATTTGTATGACACTCCCTTCTTGCTTGATACAGTTATCAAATATACAGTAATAAAATCTTAGATGTGCTTGGGAGCGTATGGGACAAAAATAGCTCAGTTTTGCACAAAAGTCAATGTAACCGTCTTTAAAGGGATTCTGTAACTTTGTCTCAGATTCTGAAACAAAGTCCTAGATTTAGCTCATGCTGCAATGATAATTATAAACCTTTAGGTCAGTCAGGAACCCCATGACTTTGACAAGCCAATCACCTGTCTGATTATCAAGATATTTATGATTGAAAATCGAAACCAAATTTGCGTTTTCCTAAGGGTTTTTCATAACACTACAGTCTATTGGGGAAACGAGTATGGTAAAACCAGTCACTCAAAGATTTTTACTTTTTTGAGGCACTTTTTGATTATTTTGAAGCGCAATTTTTTTAGGGCTTCAATGTTACACCATATCACAGACACTGATAACACGGAGGGCAGTGCATCTCAGATTTAACATTGTTAAACGATGCCTTTAAATCTAAAACTTACCTCTCGTATAGCAGCATGGGGGCAGCCTCCTGTCTCTACTGCCCTCATTCTTTCCTCAGGTAAAGCCTCATTCCGCACCAGGAACTCCCAGTCTTCTCTACAAACCAAATAAAAAACAACATATTGTTAGTATTACTCAAAATAATATATCACCATAATACATTAACAAATCAAAGAAAACACAACATTACATCTGCTGAGTATTTCTCAAATATAATATATACAGCAGCATAATACATCTAAAAACCAATTAAAAAAACAACTTACTGAGTATTCCTTAGACATTTATCTACATTTGTCACTCTCCACCCAGTAAATAGGTACCCAATTGGAAGAAATTGCTTGATTGCTTTAGCGTCTTCGATGGTAGCTCAGTTCCAGCCAGGGTTTTAATGTGATACTTTGTATCAAGTGCAGTTGAGTATATTCATATAGTAGCTGGCACTTTATAAATGGACATATTATAATAATATACAGATATATACTGCCATGAGAGGGTGTCTAGATTAGCATGTCTTGCTAAAGGACACAAGTGCAGTAGCAGAGATTGGAACCCTATCCCTTTTACACCACACACCTCTAGAAAAAGTCCTTAAAATTTTCTGAATTCTGTAGAGAGCAGTCAGAAAAACAATAGACGGAAGCAAAGAGCGATGTAGCTCTCGAGAGCTCCAAAAGAACTTTGATAAATTTGAAAAGAGCTCTTTTAAAAAATAATAAAATACTTCAAAATCAATTTGAGAAAGTCGTGCTCCTAGTCAGGTGGCTAAGTGAAATTATCGTTACTTGCCGGATAAAAGCACCATTTTTGGTACAGGTAGTCTGGTATGAAGCCAGGATACGATTGGCGATGTCCTCCACCCCTACCATGTATTAGGCTATTAGGCTAGGAGCCCCCGGCAAAAATTTCAATTTAATGGTGTGGGGGCGGGGCGTCTTTTGGAGCCCCCAAATAATTATATAACATCGATTTGTTATTGTACAAATGCCATTTTTGGTAAAGGGCATCCTTAGGACATACTGAACGATATGAGGGTAGGAGCCCCCGACAAAAATATCATATAACGGCGTGGGGCAGGGGTGTAGCCTCGTAGCCCCCAAATAATTTAGAAGGTAATATAACATTTATATGTTGTTGTACATATGCCATTTTTGGTACAGGGTTTACTTAGGACCTACTGAATGATTTTAGGGTAGGAGCCCCCAGCAAGAATATCATATTAGGGTGTAGGGCGGGGCGTCGCTTCGTAGCCCCCAAATAATTTAGAAGGTAATATAACATTTATTTGTTGTTGTACAAATGTCATTTTTTGGTACAGGGCTTCCTTAGGACCTACTGAACGATATCATGGTAGGAGCCCCTGGCAAGAATATCATATAAGGGTGTGGGACAGGTGCGTCGCCTCGTAGTCCACACATAATTTGTAATGTAATAAAACATTGATTTGTTGTTGTACAAACGCCATTTTTTGGTACAGGGCTTCATTCGGACCTGCTGAATGATGGTAAGGTAGGAGCCCCCGGCATACATATCCATATACGGGTGATTGGGGGCCCATGGCATTTGTACAACAACAAATCAATGTTATATTACCTGACACATTATTTGTGGACAATGAGGCGACGCCCCTGTCCCACACTCTTATATAATATTCTCTCCGGGGGCCCCTACCCTGAAATCGTTCAGTAGGTCCTAAGGAAGCCCTGTACCAAAAGTGGCCATTGTAAGAACAACAAATAAATGTTATATTACCTTCTAAATTATTTGGGGGCTACGAGGCCACGCCCCCGCCCCACACCCTTATATGATTTTTGTGCTGGGGGCTCCCACCCTAATATCGATCAGTAGGTCCTAGGGAAACCCTGTACCAAAAATGGCATTTGTACAACAACAAATCAATGATATAAAATTTGGGGCCCCAAAAAGACGCCCCCGCCCATCACACCCTTAAATTAATTTGTTGCCGGGGGCTCCTAGCCTAATATCGTTAAGTAATTCCAAAGGAAGCCCTGTACCAAAAATGGTGCTTTTAACCGGCAAGTAACGATAATCGATAAATTTGACGCTAAGCCACCTGACTATCAAACACCAAATCCTAAAAGAGCTCCTGCAAACAGAAATGTATTTTTTACACCTGTGAAAAGGCATTATATTACACTATTTTGACCAAAATGATTATCTCTTACTTTAAAAGCACTTACTTAGTGAAGATGTCATTGGTAACGACGCAGACACCGTACTTGTCCCTCAGATGCCTACACAGGGCCAAAACGAGGGCCGTCTTTCCAGAACCAACAGGGCCACCAATGCCTACGGTGAATGCTCTCTATGAAAATCAAGATAAAAAATAAAAATCAGTTTTAAAGATACCATACTCATCTCGCTTCTTCCTAGCTATATAGGGCCAGAATGAGAGGTGAATAACAAATGATTGAATGAAAGAATGCAAGATTAAATGAATAAATGAATTAGAACTATAAAAAAAAAAAAAAATTGATAAATAATGTGTACCCTATTTCCTTGCTTTGCCTTTCCCTCCCCCTCCCCTCTTATAGATACCCTCCTGGGGGGGGGGGGGGGGGGTGTTTGACAAAACTTGTCATCAGTGACAAATGACAGTTTTTGTTATAAGCTACTGAAATCCTTGCTTCTGATTGGTTATCAGCAGATTTGTCACTGATTTTTGTCATTTGTCATTGAAAAAGCTTTGTGAAACGGGTCCCGCTGGTCTAACCTGTTTCCAATCTGATCTTCTGAGTGGTAACTCTCTGTTTATGAAGAAGCCTGCATTGTCCATATGCTCGTGGGTATGACCATGTTCATTGCCATGATCATGAGTGTGTGATCCTGCAGTCTGCCCTGATACATTGCCTCCTGTACCAGTTTAATGAAAAAATACAGTCATCAGCTAAAATACATGTACTGCTGATTCATGGCATCTGTTTTCTAGGCACAAATAATGGCATTATTTCAACATTTTAACCCAATTTCATGTAATTATATCAGTATTTATCGATTACAAAGATTGACCATGGACAGTGATACGTTTGAATTTGGAAAATGTAGTGCTCATTTCAAGAAATTACCTGTTGAAGAATAGTATGCGCCCACCCATACAAATTTGTGTAACAAAATTTATACAATGTCACCGATGAGGACCATTTCACGACCGTTTAAGACCATTTCCTGCCTGTTTTACCCGATTTCCAGCGAAACAAGATTTTCATGTGAATTTTGGAAGCAGAATTACACTAATATTCTGTTGAGGAACATCAAATAAGACAACTGATTTGGTAATTTCAGACATTGCTGAACCCATATAAACAACCCATATCAACATCAAAATGTTTTTTTTTTCTTTTTTCAAATGGGTCAGGTTCATGGAAACAAAATTTATTACAAAAAAATAAGAAACAATTTAAAAAATTAAACTTCATTGCGTGTTGCTGTATATATTAACATTTCATGGCTGCTCAATAAGTGCGCATGCACAAGAAAATGGAGTCTACGTCATCCCTTGCAATATTCTCTCACGATATTGTTACTTCTCGTTTGTGGATATTATTCCTCAAGCTGTTTTGAGATGAACGATAGCACACGCATGATATGCTCACTAGCAAGCATAGGCGTGCAGCGGTCTGACTGTAACTAATGTATCATATTTTACATAATCACAGCTATGGCCTAGCCTTTATTGCCTTAAAAGGTATACATGTAGATCAGTTCTGGTCATGCGATTGCATTGTGAAAGAAACGTTGTGGAATCGATCAGAAAAGGTTGATCATCTATACGTAAGTATTGGTGTGTCGATCCTGCAAGGTTCTGGAATTATCATCAACATGATAAGAAATTAGGCCCAGTCTTGGTAAAGTTACAAGCACTGTACACAAAAAGATTTGCAGTGTATATAGGACTACCGGTATGCGATATCTATCCCTGGAGGCCGGATTGATATAACAATTTACCAAATATATCAATTAGTAGGCGGTTTCCCGGCAAAATTTGTATAATCACATATTAGTTAAAACATATATTCTTTCACACGGTTGGTAATAAGATCGGCGCTAGTGTACTTTCTTATCCATTTTTGACCCGTAACTCCGGCGTGTTCAAATGTGTTCAAATAATGGTCATGATTTAAAAGTTGTTATGTTTCTTACCTGTTTCATATCAATTTCTTTATCGTTTTTGGAGTATTTTTCCTAAAAATAAAGACTTATAATAGGGTAGCGCGCCCAGTATTCGGTCAATTCCCAGTATTCGGTCAGACAGCCGTTTCAACAGCTGTAACAATTTAAAAAAATATTTATGAGCCACGAAACTTGCACAAATCAGGCAGCTGAACAACTTTTCTTAACTCTCAAAATTAAATCAGATTTAGGGCCCCGGAAAGATCTCCAACTTAGCTCGAAATTGGTCAGTGTCGCACAACTTTCCGCACTTCCGCGTTCTCTTAGCACATGCGCTAACATGCATAGCCATATGTAGGAGTCTATTGCGAAACAACTACGTGTGCTGTCACAATGAATTTAGTATGTGTGTGAAGAGAATCACTTCCGTGTTCGCTCCATCGCAGCGAATTTGCAAATGACGCACTTGCCGATGTGCAAGAGGTATTTATACGATACCCTTGCCATGCGGTATCGCTCAGCCAGTATTCGGTCAACGCATTGACATTCAGTGCTTTATCGCGCAATTGTGTGAAATAGTGCGCAAATACGCTACGCTCCTTTGCAACGGAGATACCACGCACAAATCGCGTGACCGAATTCTAGTCGGCGCGACCGAATTCTGGGCAGAAAAATGCTCCGTCTTCTTTCGGAAGTCTTTTGCTTATCGTTATTCTATATTTTCAGTGACTATAAAATCCTGTTAGAGGAATAAATTTCTTTTCTTTTGATGGGTAGATTGCCCAATAAAAGAGGTAAGAATTCAAAATATTAGTGATTTCCCCTTAAGTGACCGAATACTGGGTACTCTACCCTATACACTTTCTCACAGGATTCACAGCAAAGAGCAAACTGCTGCACAATAAAATTGCACACCATACTGATGGTGCGGTGCGGGCGGGCGTGTGTGTTAAGTTAGCGACCGTAATGATGAATTGCTTAGATTACAGTCGCTAACTTACACACGTGACGCGTGAGCGCCCGCATCAAAGATTTAGTTGATTTTCAGTAGACCGTATGTTTTATTAGGTTATCTCCAAGCTGGAGTTAAGGGTCAAAGTCTGGATACACAAGTTTCTGAACTAGCGCCCAGCGGTTTTCCTGTGCAGTGAAACATGTGAGAAAGTATTAGAGTCTATAGGGGTCTAATGTCTTTGTTTTTACTTTTAGAAAAAGAACTCCAAAAAAGATGAAAAAATTGACACAAACAGAAACTGGTCTAGATCTATACCTTAGTTTAAGCCTACTAATCATTGCTGGTAACTTTGCTATCATTATTAATATTAACTACCATGGTTGCATCACTCATCACACACATTGTATGCAACGGGCCTGGACGTGGACTGGAACCCCAAGACAATACCCTTCGACTAGCAGACGGAGGCCGCTGGAGACGCGGCGTCACACTCACAGTCTTGCCGGTAGGCAGGTAGGCCTACACTACAGTTACATCGACAGACGACAGCTTTGATTTTGCTCACCTTTTACGAATGGCACGTTACTGCTGCTAGTCCCTCCTTCTGACATACTGCTTTCCAATACCCCCAAGACTTATATTTCTCTTCAATCTCAAACCGCTACCATTTAATTAGTCTATTAAGAGAAGAGTAGATCTAGACCCTAGTAGATCAGCAGTAGGCAGGTAGGTAAGTAGGTAGGTAGCTGGGCCAGACTTCTCTCAAGGCGCAATGATTTTTTAATAAAAGTGTCAAATTAGGGCCTGTGGCAGACTCGGCATTCGCTACGTGTACCATAATCGTGTCAGACGTCTGAGTAATTTCGTGTACCCTGTCAATAAAATACCAGCTATTGTTACATCATCCATACTTTCTATTATCAAGGAGATTTTCATGTTCTTGAAGTTGAATTTATGAAAAGTCTAAAATACTTGAATGTTTGCTTTTGAATATATTTTATTTTAAGGCTACAAATGGCTCTCCATAATTTTAACGTCCAACTTTAAGATCATAGCATAAGCTCAACTTAGGATCTTTGTGAAACATCTTAGTGTGGTACGGTATGTCACTGAAACAGCTCCCGTAGGATGTTTGTGCCAAAGTTGATTTTTATGCCTCCGTTACGAAGTAGCCGGAGGCATTATGTTTTCGGGTTGTCCGTCCGTCCGTCCGTACGTCCGTCCGTCCGTACGTCCCGTTCTCGTGATCGCGTTATCTGAAGAACCGATTGATGGATTCCTGCCAAACTTTGGTCATGTATGTATCTTGCAGAGCCGATGAACTGATTAGATTTTGGGGTCACGAGTTCAAAGGTCAAAGGTCACAGGGCTCATTATGTATGCAAAAACAGCTCGTGATCGCGTTATCTGAAGAACCGATTGATGGATTCCTGCCAAACTTTGGTCATGTATGTATCTTGCAGAGCTGATGAACTGATTAGATTTTGGGGTCACGAGTTTAAAGGTCAAAGGTCACAGGGCTCATTATGTATGCAAAAACAGCTCGTGATCGCGTTATCTGAAGAACCGATTGATGGATTCCTGCCAAAATTAGGTCATGTAGTTACTTGCAGAGCCGATGAACTGATTAGATTTTGGGGTCATAAGGTCAAGGTCAAAGGTCATGCGGCTCATTATGTATGCAAAATGATTGATTTTCTTGCTGTTTTGGCTTCAAAGGGTCCCAATTGGCCAAAAATGATGAGGTTCAAATTTTCAGACCCCTCCTTCATTTCCTGGGGGTCCTAGACCGGGAGCCAGGGGTCAACCTAGCTGGGAAGGAAACCAATTTTCATGTGCACAGATGTAAAGATCGCATAGCTCCACATAACAAATTGACCGTCTGGCATGTTCAAAGTGGTGGGTGTGGCCAGGGGGACGCCCCCACCAAAAAAGTGGCCCTTTTGACGACAAAATAGTATTATGTAAATAATATTTGAAGTAAACCTTGAACCACCATGAGTTTGGTGTCATATGAAAGAGATTTAAATTATCTACATTTTGATATCAATGTCAAAGAATTTGGGATTAATTAACATCGCAAATTTAAGTACAAAAAATGATTTTTGTGATTTTTTTTTCGAAAAATTGGATTTTATCAAAAAACATTATTTTCCATATATCAAAATCGGAGAATTGCATTTTTTTCATAACCTTCGAGAAATTTGCTTTCCCTGTGCGAGGGAGAGGTTGATATATCGTTTCAATAAACAGTTAAAGCAATCCAAATTTATTGATTTGATTTCCACAAAAACAACATTTTTGCCCACATGTGTATTAACTGTATGCATATACGTGCATTGGTGTATTAAGGACCTGTTTGGTGTGTTTACATCGAGTTTTAAAGATAACTTTGAAGTAAACCTCTAATCACCATGTATTTGGTGTAAAAAGAAAGGAGAGAGAGAGAGAAGGAAAGAAGGGAAAGGGAAAGAGGAGAGAAAAGGGGAAAAAAGGAAGAGAAGAAGAAAAGAAAAGAGGGAAGAAGTAGATCGGGGGGGGGGGGCAAAAGGACTTGCCTCCCAGGCTGTTGCCCCCCCCCCCCCCCCAATCAAAAATAAAAGAGAAGGAAGGAAAGGGAAAGAAACAGGGAAAAGAGGAGATACAGGGAAGGAAAAAAGAGGAAGAAGAAAAGAAAAAAAAGGGGGTATCAGTTGCAATTTTCCCGCCAACAACTTGTGGATCGGGGGGGGGGGGGGGGGCAAAGGAAGGAAGAGATTGTTGGAAAAAAACTGAATTTAGACAAAGATTAAGAGTCGATAACGGTACAACAAATCGTCCTCTTTCTCTAATAATATATTGAAATGTCAAAGCTTCCGTGTTTCGCGGAGGAGGGAGGGGGAAACTCGCCCCTCCCTGCACCCACCCACCCCCAATTACGTCACTGCTGGTCACCAGTACGAACCAATATTTGGCTCGCATAATTTCAAATTTTGCCCCCCCCCCCCTAAGAAATCCTGGATCCGCGCCTGATGTATAAACAACGGCAACAGTTTCAATCAAATGTAAGTTCTTCTTACTTAAATCATTGGTCTGGAAACAATTATTTGCCCATTGATGTGTATTGTATTACATTTTCACTGACAATGAATTCACATTGTAATGCAATTTTCAAGTTTCCCAGGCTTATTTAGGAGAACAGAAGATTGATATTGTTAAGTTGTACGATAACATCACTCAGTTTGATTTGATTGGAGATATATCTTATTAAAAACAGAGTAAAGGCTATACAGTATCAAACAATCCTACACCATTAAACTTCAAGCTCACTCACACATGATTTACGACACTTTCAAAGGCTACTTATTATTACAAGTGCATGCATATATACAAAGGGCAAAAGCTTCAATATTAAACGTAATTAAATCATTGGTCTGGAAAATATTAATGCCCATTGTTGTATATTATACAACATTTTCCATAACGATAAATATACATTGTATAATGCAATTTTCAGGAAAACCATACTTGTCATTACTGTTATATTTGTTATATGATACTAAAGCAAATCGTTTCGCTTATCGATAAGATAAATCAATGTGATGTACGTGTCAAATAATGAAATGATTACGTGCTATTTTTAACCGGACTAGACATTTGAAATGTATAAAAAATGTATACACTATTGACAGCAAGCAAGTTTTTTAAACAAATAATTCAGACATTGAACAACATTGCACATTTTAGTCTACACGGCATGCTCTACACCCTTAGTTGGACTGTAAACAGTTGCCATAATAAATATAAATTTAAAGGAGGTCAATAATCATTATGAAAACACCACTTTCGTAAGGTTGACACATCAATATATATTGTGCACACAGTCATGTAACAATGTGATAATATTTTTCTTTGGGGGGGGGGGGGGGGGGGGGGGGGGGGGGGGGGGGGGAGGGTAGGGAGGTGGTATCCAAAAGGGACTGATATGTGAACATTAATATTGATAGGTCGCTTCACAAAAGGGGCATACATAGTCCTTTTTTGTGGATAATTTTTTGAGCAAAACACAAAATAGGTGGAGCCAACGTCCACACAGGTCACATCGCACCCAAGCGAAATGTGTGAGTCAGGGGCGGCGATCCCGGGGGAAGGACGGGGTACACGTCTTCCCTCAATTTTCTTAGGGGATCGCCCCCATGGATAATTTGAAAAAGTGCACACCAACAAAATGTATAGCAAATACTGACTAAAGACTGCAACACGCTTTAAGGCTCTGGTGGGCCCAATAGTACAGCGTTTAGACTAATAGAAATGCTAAAATCTTCTCGCTCGGTTGCTACGCTCCTTCGCATAATATCCTAAAATATACAAGTAAATATTGTAGAAAATATGTATTCTGTTGGTATCACGTATATACAGTTTACACTGTATGTTAACAAGATTAAAAGTCATAGAAATAGATCAGTGTTCCAAAAATGAATATTTAGCTTGCTCTTTTGCGAAGTCCCTTCCTGCTCAGTAATTACTAAAATTTACCTAGTAAATATTTAAAACCCTTCGGACTGCACACTAGAAAAAGTATATTGCTTGTTTTTATTCTGTAGTTTTGCTAAAGAATGTAATTTTGTAACACAACAAAACTTCAAAACCTGCGAGGGGTTTTACATATAAGACTTATCATACAGATTAATGGGGGTAGTACCTTCCGTCACCTCCGCCTCTTTCACTGGCGTACTGATGGGGGGGGGGGGGCAATACTATTTAAACATGGGTTATTTTTAATTTGATACCAGTAATTTACAAGTATTGCTAAAATGGCAGTATTATTCCATGAGCTACCGGGGGCTCTACCCCCCTGGAACCCACCAAGGGCCCTAAGGCGGGCCCCTGTTTGCTCATCTGTCCGTAATTAAATGCCTAAAGTCCTTGAGCTTTCGGGGGCTCTGCCCTCTGGACTCCACCAAGGGGCCTAAGGCGGGTCCCTAGATGCGTAATTTGGTGCCTAAAAGCCCTGACCACTTCTCTTCCGTTATGTATTTCTTTGTCTTTCTTTCTCCATATCCTCTGCACTCTCCTTATGTATTTTTTTGTTTTCCCTTTTCTATTACCTTCCCTTTCCTGGGTATACGTGCTTGCATATTATATGGCTAAACAGTTGTTTAAAAAAAAATATGTGGCGAACGGTCAAGGAGTAGAAGAAGGCAAAAAGAGAACAAAGACGGCATCCATGGAAGCCAGGCGCGTACACAAGGGGGGGGGGGGGGGGGG